GATGGTGGGGGTTGTGTGGAGAAGACAAAAAAAAGTGTCACATTGACGAGGCTAATCAATGAGCTATGGAGATACCCATCAATTGATGTCAATATAAGGAGTATGGATTGTCATGCAATAAATGCACTAGAGCTATAAGTGAATGAAAGATCAAAAGAAAATTAAGTGGGTGTGCATCCAACTTGCTTGCTCATGAAAACCTAGGACAATTTGAGAAAGCCCATCATTGAAAGTCACATTTGACAATATTTTGGCTTTAGGCGAAGAACTATTTTTCTTTCTTAAATATAACTTTATAAGGGATCTCCTAGAGATGCTCTATGGTAGAGAATGTCCTAGCACGCTCTAAGAAGTCATTTGTTAACATGGTACAATTGTAGATGCTCCTATACACGCACACATTCATCTCTATAAAACACGCACGTAAACACGTCATGAGATTCATGAAGTCATCATAAGCGCCATAGTCGATGGGAAAGTCTCCTTTCACAGAACGAACATTGTCGAAAAGTCTGACACAAATCTAGAAAAGTGCGTGCACCAGTGCCAACTTTATTGCTTAAACTATGATGGGTTGGTTCCACCACAAGAAATCTGATCATCAAAGCTAAGCTCAGTTCGACGCTCTAATGAGTCAAATGGTGCTTCACCTCATAAAACGACTTCTAGAGTCTAGACTACTAATCTCTCCCTATCTCTCCCTAATAATAAAGTACGGATTGACTTTGTCGGGTTCACCGTCACAATACGCTTTCTTCTCATGTCATAATACCTTTTTACGATTTGTATAGACAAAATCATAATATAAACAAGGTGATACTAATCTTATGTTGCACGATCGTTCAAAAAAATATCGTACGTCGACAGTGGCTGGCTTCTTCGCTTGATCCGTTTATATGGCACATCCTCAGCTGGGCCTGTCTAGCCCCATGGGCGGGCTACACCCACACACAAAAGACAGCCCATCAATCCTAACGCTGGTGCCATGTGCTGCTCCTATACGGTGCAATCATGGTATTGGATTAGTACCAGATTAGGCTAGCTTATATACTATATATACTAGTATACATGTACGTGCAAATGCACACATTGACTTCCCTCGTCCGATTGGTGCATTGCACAACAACCAGCTCAAAACTCCGTCCCAAATCCCTCTGCGATGACGCGATTAGTACGCGCGCTACCGATGCTTATGGACCGGCTGCCAAGGCGGCTGAGACAGCCAGCTACATGCACGAATGAACGACAACAGCAGCAAGCATGTGGATTTTTCCAGCATTGACATTTGTGGACGGTTCTAGAGAACAACAGTAGCTTGGCTGGTACTGATTATCTGTCCATGGTTCCGGAGAACAACAGTAGCTTCGCTGGTACTGTAGCTAGAACTGTAGCAGTGAATCCGAGCACTTCCAACCATTGGATGGACTCTATCAATGGTTCAGGTTGCTTCCTGGTCATGAGATTCAAAATTTCAAAACTGGTACACTATATAGTAGTATAGATACTACTACCGCCGCTGTCGGCCAGAAGGTTTCCCTGGACAAGCTTCCAACCCGTCACCAACCAGGCCAGCCACCAACACCTCCGAGCACGGACGCCGGAGATCTAGAGCAGCCGATGAAGAGAACCGCATGCTATGATAGTCCGCCTCAGATCTGACGAGAGGGGCACCGGGAACCACCTGACGCCACGACCGTCGTCCACTGAGACCTTCTGCCCAAGCAGCCAAGGAAATCTGGCCGACCGATCCGACAAACGTCCACCACCAGCAGAAGGACGCCGCCCTGCCACGTCCCATGTCGCCGACTGCCGAGTGAAGAGAAATGAACCTTGCCAGCACTGGCGTGGGCCGAGCTTTGCCTGGCCGCACCCTCTGGTGGCGGCAAGGGAGAGGGAAGAGAGAATTGTTGTTGAACTACTAGAATTTTTATGACCTGTTGTAACGCACGGGCATATTTGCTAGTAATTCTCAAATAAGTTAAACACTTGTTGTGAACTGCAATATTACTCAGATGACTTAATGCGTTTCTCTTCATGTTTCCTCGCCCGTGGCGACGGGCGGGTTGATAATAATTCAAAACCACACTTGACTTCGATCTCACAGCTTACTTTCATTCAAATGACGAGGCGTCTAATTTACTCATCACCACAACTGCACAACACGTGCAGAGGCACAGCTAGCTAGGGCGGCACCTCATCGCAAGGCGCGTCGCCTGCAGACAGGTGGAGCGGCGGGACGCCGATGGTGACCGGAAAGCAGCGGAACGCGGTGACGCCGCCGTGACTGTAGGTGAACCCGGAGATCTGGGTCTGGAGGATGCCACGAAGGTGCACGGCAGCCTCTTTGATCTCCTGGCCTGCAGACGTCGTCCCATTCCTGCTGCGAGGACGCATCCTCTCGGCGAACTCGCTGGGTACCTCATCCGGCACCACGAGGTCCCCCCTCACCAGCGTCTGCCGCGCCGTTGTCGGCCCCACCACGATGCCGTGGATGGTGCCATTCGGAACGCTCAACCAGGTGATCGCCTTGCCGCTCCTGTCGAGGAGGCTCATGTTGACGTTGCTATACTGGACGCCGACGCGGCCGCTTGGGTTGTACGACAGCAGGTTCAGAGAGATGCTCACTGTAACCGGTGCCGGTGGCAAGCCCTTCACGGACACGGAGACGGACGAATTGGCGACTTCGATGGTGATCGGCTCAGAGCGGAGGGACACGGTGACAGCCCTGGCAATGACTGCCACGGTGACCGCGGTCACCAGGGCTGCCGCCGTGTACCGGGCCACATCGATCAACCACCGGACTCTTGTGTCCTCGCCGTCATCGTTGCTGTCGCCGTTACTATCACCCATGAATTGGAGATTGGATGTATTCTTGTAGTCGTGCATAGAGTGGCTATTGCTTAATCGGCCGGACTTGCTAGCTATTCCATGGATGGATGGATGCATATATATTGATATGATAGCAGGTGCCTTGCTACATAGTATACACATGTTAAAGTGAAACTTGCACTAGCCAGTTATTTAGAGTCGGATGGAAGCAACCTCAAGGTGCAAGCTATCTCGAGAAAAGGAAAAGGATTGCCTAAGATTCGACACTCCGTTTATCCATGTAAACTAGTACTACTTTGCTTTGGCTAATTTTTTCCTCGGCCACTTTACTTTGG